CTCAGGACGCCATCACCAAGCCTGCCGTTCTCCTCGGCTCCAACGGCAAGGTTGTCACCCGCAGCAAGCCCCAGTACGAGACTGCCGCCGTCAGCCAGTTCCTCAGCGCCAAGGCCAACGGCTGCAAGGGAGACGGCAAGACCGACGACACGGCTGCCATCCAGGCTCTGTTCAACAAGGCCGGCCCCAACGACATTGTCTACTTTGACCACGGTGCCTACATCATCTCCAACACCATCGAGGTGCCCAAGGACATCAAGATCACCGGCGAGGTCTGGCCTCTTCTGATGGCCAACGGCGAGGCGTTCAAGGACCAGGCCAACCCCAAGGTCATGCTCAGAGTCGGAAAGCCCGGCGACGTTGGCACCTTTGAGATGAGCGACATCATCGTCCAGACGCAGGGTCCCCAGGCCGGTGCCATCCTCATGGAGTACAACATCGCCGGCTCCAGCCCTGGTGCCGCCGGTCTCTGGGACGTCCACTTCCGCATCGGCGGCAGCCAGGGCACCCAGCTCCAGTCCGACAAGTGCGCCAAGAACCCCAACGTCACCCACGCCGCCAACCCCGAGTGCATCGGCGCCTACATGCTCACCCACATCACCGCCGAGTCCTCCGGCTACTTTGAGAACGTCTGGTGGTGGGTTGCCGACCACGAGCTCGACCTCGCCAACAAGGGGCAGCAGATCGACATCTACAACGGCCGCGGCGTCCTCACCGAGTCCACCAAGGGAACCTGGTTCTGGGGAACCGCCTCCGAGCACTCCGTCCTGTACAACTACCAGTTCAACAACGCCTCCAACGTGTACATGGCGCACATCCAAACCGAGACGGCGTACATGCAGGGCAACCCCGACGCCAAGACGCCCTTCACCGTCAACAACGCCATCCTCGACCCCAATTTCGAGACCTTCTGCACCGGCCAGAGCGACAAGTGCGCGCGCACCTGGGGCGTCCGCGCCATCAACTCCAAGGACATCCTCATCTACGGCGCCGGCCTGTACAGCTTCTTCAACAACTACGACCAGGTCTGCGTCGGCCAGAACAACTGCCAGGACCACATGGTCTCGCTCGAGAACAGCGACGTCAAGTTCTTCGGCCTCAGCACCAAGGCCTCGGTCAACATGGTCACCGTCAACGGCAAGGGCGCCGCCCTCGACAGCGACAACCGCAACAACTTCTGCGCCACCGTCGCCCTCTTCCAGGCCCCGCTCTAGGCGAGCGATGAGACCACCGCATGGGACGACCTCAAGACGAAGCGTGGGTTCCGCATGGATACTCGCAATGCGATCGAGCCTGAGGAGACGTGCCCTGCCGGAAAGAGGTCCGATATGGCTTACGACTTTCACTTCATCTAGCACTCGGCCCTAGCGGTTGATAGCTAACCCCCCCTTTTTTGTGTGGATTATTGGGCCAGGCGGCATACTTGCATCAGGGTTTTGGGAGTTTGAGGATTTTTAGAAAACACAGGGTCGGTTGAGATACACTTCTTGTTTCTGCCCAAGGGGCATTGATACCACAAACGAATCAATTGTTTTTGATCATATCTTTGAAGCGCATGGTGTGACGTTGCTTGTGTAGACACATTCGGCTCCGAGTATGGTCTCCGCTACCATCCAGGTGAGCCCCTTGTGCATCTGAATGCGTGTGACTGCCTTGGCATCTAAAGTCGCGACTTCAAGCCATCCCGACATTACATTGGATTTGTCATTTTTGCATCCTCTCTAGTTTGCTACACTTTGGATGAACCGGACGGCCGTTGACAGGGATGGCCAGGACGGCACATCACATCCCGATTCCCCGCGCCTTCATAGTCACAGATCTAGAAAAGCAGAAACAGCCAGCCCTTCTACGAAACAACGGTCGCCAACAAAATGTTTAAATGGCGCGGCCCGGCCGGATGACCCGGGAGAGCGACTTCACGGGACAAACTGAACGTGAGTATGGATGAAAGGGGTATTGTTTATATTATTGAGTATCTATTACTTGATCCAACCATGCAGCGGGTATCAGATTCCGGGCAAGCCAACGACCTGGCGTATCGCAGGAACAAAACGAGGAAGGATGTAGACGCCATACAGAGCCGAAAGGGCGGTTGCAAGGCCAGTAACCTATGACATGTCAGTGAGTTGAGGAGGCCAACAAAGTCAAAGTGGAAACATACCTTTTCAAACCAGGTGTGGAAGTAGATGGCAGTCATAAGCAACATCCAAGAGCTGAGACCAATCACGCCAACGGCGAACTTGCCCCCGAGCCCGAGAGCATCACCAGGAACGGGCTCTCCCTGCAGACCCTGAGCCTCGACGGTGGCTGTCTTTGTCGCGCCATCCGTCATAACGACGCTGCGCTCCTCTCGCCTTGCGCCCTTCCATCGGAGAACAACCCAGCCGACCTCGGAAAGCAGAAAGCCGCAGCCGAGGACCAGCAGAAATACGTGTCCACTAATATCGTGTCCACCGCGCCACTTTCCACCAGCAGCCTTGCACGCCACAGCCGTGAAGACCTCCTTAGCATCTCCCTCGCCGAGCTCGACCTTTTCCTCAATAATCTCACACTTTCCTCCAGTCCACCGGAACCCTCGGTCAATGATGGCAGGCCCGAAAAACCATTGCGTCACGAAGAACCACCAGGTTGTGATGAGCACCCAGCGGAGGGTGGCCTGTATCCGACGGGTCGAGTGGACGGTCGCGGGGTGGGTGAAGATGAAGGCGAAGAAGGCAGCGGTGATCCAGAACCAGCCTCTCTTTACGAAGAGGACGTTGAAGAGGTTCGACTTTCGCGCGAAGTAGGAAGGTGCGGTGTCTTGGACGTGGGCTTGGGAGGCATGGTCGTACTGCGAGGACCGGACGTCGGGGGAGAGCAGCGAGAAGAGAGTCCCGAAGAACAGGATGACGGGAAAAGCGGCGACGACGAGGGTCTCGAGGGGTGTGGGCAGGAAGGGGTTATTTCGCTTCGTCTTGGTCGGTTGCTCGGGCGCCATCGTGGTTGCTCCGTTGAGTTCGTCCAGGGCGCGTCGGGTTTTGCTCCGCAGGTTCGCAGTGGGTGGTGTTTCCATGTTGACTCTTTTGACGTCTAGAAGATCAGCTACAGCATTAAGGGCAGAATAGCGGGTTTGAGAGCTGTTTGGCGGGAGTGGTGGCTCTTAAGGTGGAGGAATGAAGAGGCCAGGATTTGGCGCGAGAATTCAGCAACACCAGAAGTATGACGTTGCTGATCGGAGGAGGGCACGTACCTGACGAGCGCACCTTCTGGGCCTGGCTGTGTGGCTGTTGACAGTGGGGCAGTGACAAGTCGGGTGGCTAATCATCGGACAGTCGGCCAGCTGCGAGCACCGACCGGCCAATAAGAAAGCCGGACGCCAAGGCACCGAGGCTCACCTATAACAGAACTGGAGGACACATCGCAGTAGAACCTCGGCGATGCTGAGAGAACATGCAGGCTCATTTGACTTCCTTGTCACTTGCTTGTCTTATGTGTCGATGGCGGCCTGTACTACTCGGGCAGGCATGGACGGCTCGGTGTGTCGGTCAATATCGGTCAAGGTGTCGGTGTAGGAGGGGAAGGTGGGGCATTGACCGTAGCTCCCGCCCCGGCGCGTCCCGTCAGTGTCGTCCTGTCCCAACACGAAGTAACCTCATCCTTCTGGTTTCCATCACAGCTCGCGACCTCCAGCGACATCCATTGCCATTGCGCTTTTCTCTGCCATCACAATGGCACCCATCAAAGCCCCGGCAAATCTACCCGAGCTTGTCAAAACTGCTTTCAACAAAGCTCGTGCCAATGGCGACCTTAACTATTACGCGACGCAAGTCGCCGTCCTGACTGCAAACTCGATCCCTGTAAGTTTGTCCCAGACGGCTGTCACCTTGTCGCGAGCTGCCCCTGACACCTACATGCAGTTCCAGCTTCGTTTTTCTCCAGCACTGGCAAATAAGCCAACCGCTCCGAAGTCCCAAACCGACCAACCACGCAAACCATTCGATCCCTTCGAGAACCCCCAGAACGGTCCGCTGTTCATCGCCGATATCCCCTCTTCGGGACACAATCTCGTTCTGAACAAGTTCGCCATTGTACCAGAACACTTTATCCTCGCAACGAAGGATTACAAACTGCAGACTCACCTGCTGGAGCCGAGCGACTTGGCAGCGACCTACGCTTGCATCGAAGCATACCACCAGCATGGAGACAACGAGTTGTACGCATTTTTCAACAGTGGGCAGCACTCGGGCGCAAGCCAGCCACATAGACATATTCAGCTACTTCCTGTCGCTCGAATGAAGGATGGTTTGCCAGAGGGCTCCAGGTGGGATGTCTTGGCGAAGCAGCTGGTTCAACCGCAGCTCATGGGCGTCCCATTCACGACATTCGGCGAGAAAATCCATGGGGACATGGCTCCTAATGAGCTCCATGCTGTCTACGTGTCGCTGTTCCGGTCAGCTGTTGAAGCAGTCGAGGCTCATGTCGGAAAATTAGACGACTCAGGCAACGGGGAAGCTCGGATCAGCTACAACCTTGCAATGACAAGCAACTCTTTGGTGGTCATGCCGCGATTGGCCGAGGGCCACACCATCGAGGAAAATGGCAGGTCCGTCGGCAAACTCAGCCTCAACGGCACTGTATTGGCAGGAACTGCTCTGGTCAAGAGTGAAGCCGAATGGAGTGCTCTCAAAGCCAACAGCGACAGCAATCAACTGGTCGATATTCTGGCCAAGATCGGCATCCCAAAGAATTCTGGACACAGTAAGAAGCTGTGATTGCTGGAAATCTGGACGAGTCCTTATCATGCAGTCAGCCCAAGATACATGCAACAACAAACAAACATTTTTGCCTAGCGGCAGGTTTCTAACTAAAGAACACAAACATGAAAATCCAGCTAGTACTCCACCATGAACGACAGCTCACATGTCGAATTTGCAATGCTGCAAACCATTCCAATATTCACCCCGGAACCCAATCTCATCAAGCACACTCATCGGGGCCCCATCGCGCCGTCCCGAGCGGCACTACATGGTTCCACTTCCGCCGATGCGTCTTCCTGCAGAGCACATGGCGAGTTCATCCCACTTCTTGCGGCAAGTGGCGTTGCCGAACAGGTACGATCCATCATGCGAGTAAATGTACTCGGCCACCTGCTTCCATGGAATCTTGGTTGAAGCTGGATCGTTACCCTTGGAGAACTTGCGCACAGCCCTTTTGAGGAGATGGATCTGCAAATCAAGGGTTAGACAATCCTTTCATATCGCGAACGGTGGCACTTACATCATGACTAGTCCACTCGGGCTTTCGAACTCTCTCCTCCTTGCTCTTGGTAAGGGTGCGATAACGGCCACGGAGGGTTGACTCCGCCTCGCTGAAGTTGCCCTTGACGCGAATCTCGCGGTATGTCAGTCCCTCTGCCTTGGCCTTGAGAAGATACTTGTCCTTGGCGGAGCGTTCCACGGATTCTGCGAAAGAGAATGGCACCGGGCAGGGCTTCGATTGCTTCGGCCTAAGCTCTACCTTGGGAGCTGATGGGACCGACTTGCGGGCTGGAGAGCTGGCGCGGCGAGAACGTGGCTTCTCGGGAAGCTCCTTGCGAGGCTTCGAAGGCAGTATGCGAGCATGTGGTTCAGACTTCAGGATCATGCTATGACTCCCGGCAGCAGAGACTCCCACGGCGTGACAATCGTCCATGTGGCACCGCCCAGGCTCTGCAATCTGCTCGGGAGGTGCCTGGAAGAAGTGAATCGGCGTTGGCTCAGAGAAGGGTTGAGGTGAAGGAGGGGCTGCCTTGATGCTGGAGAGATCTTCAGCCATCATAGACGACGACGTGAAGGGAGAGTTGACGTAATCGAACTGCTGGGGAGGGCTGTTGATGATGGCCGAGCCGTCTGTTGAGCTGAAGGAACCGGAGTCAAGGAGGTTGGGTGCACCGGTGGAGGAGAAGCTGCCAAAGCTGGCGCCCGACTCGGATGCTGAGAAGACAGGAGAGGAGATGGGCATGTTTTGACTCAAACCACCAGAGGCTGACATGGAGATATCATCGACGGACGAAACACCAAACTGGAACTGCATCGGCGCAAACATGGACTGCATGTCGTTCGCGTACGGCATGCCCTCGGGCTGCCATGACTGATTGTGATCCATGACTGGTCGCTTGTTGCTGAAAGGGGCATCAAACTGTTGCATCCTCTGAAAGAGCATGAAAGCATCAGGATCGGAATACGGGCTGCCCGCGGTGCCAGCGAGGTATCTGTTCCGGAGCTGTTGAGCCTGAGGCCGAGTGTTAGGTCAGCAAGGAGGCCTTGATCACATCTCAGATGGTTTGATTGAAGGGAACAGAAGGCTGGAGGAAATGAGCGAACGCACCTCGAAACTGTCTTGGATACCGTCTGGCATGGTGTCCAGAGGCCAGTCTTCGTTGGACATGATGCCTACGTGGTGTGGTGTTCTGTGAGCGCCGAAAGGATGCTTGCCGTGACGTGCAATCAGTTTTCTCATGCGTCGCTGGTTGAAGCGCTGTTGGGCTCTGGCTGTCATGCTCTGCTCGAAGGCAAAGTAGTCCGAGCCATGAAAGCCCAACCGGGGAGGAGCGCTCATAAACATCCTCGACGAGAAAGAAAGCGACGCCTCGGAACCGACAAGATGGAAAGATGGCTGCGCAGTCTTCACCGCTTCTTCCGCGATGTTCTACCGGTGTTCTGCGCTGTCTCAACTCGTACGCGCGATGTCGTCGTCCGGCGGTGCGTTGAAGAAAGGGAAGATGTGGGGGAGGTTTCGGCGGTCAATGGAGAAGTCTGCAAGATGAGGCGTGGGCTCCCGATGGCCGTTCCACTGGCTGCAAGACTGGTGGTGTTCTTCCCAGCGATGGAATGGCGGTATGAGATGATCCACGGATACCAGCGGACGGGTGGCAAGGCGAACCGGTTCTTCAGTCTGTTGGTCTGTGGCTGGGACGGATAGCAAATGGGCTGGAAATAATTTGCTTCCTTGGTGAAGACTCAGAAAAGGGCTCGAGCTCTGGAAGAATGCTTCAGGGAGAGAGCAAGTCCAGGAGATGTTTGATCTCAGGAGAGGGCAGACTCAAGAGATGGACGAATACGAGACAATAAACATTAAAAGTCACGAAGACCAGAATATTTCCTAACAATGACGAGGGGTTATTGATATGATGACGCTGAGGAAACAAAATCAGATCGACGGTTACTCGACCAAGACATGACGGGCCTGGCGGGAATTGAAGGCTTTTCAACTACGGACCCGAGGCCAAGCCGCCCCTCTTCCCGTGAGCAGAAAGGAGTTCAATTAAGGTATCGCGGGAGGATGAAACTACCTCCCAGCTTCTGATCTTGCCCCCTTCCCCTTCCCCCTACCCAATCCCACGCATCTCCGCACCAATATATGCAAATGTTGACCTTTTGAGAAAGGTCTGCGTAGCCCACGCGGCTACGATCCGGCGGCTTTCGTGGGCCTCCGTGGCGATATCAGTTTTGGGACGAGTTCGCTTTCCGGTTGTCTTTTGTCGAAACTCACATTTTGAGCCTCCTGGTCCTGCTGATGGTGGTGGAGGGCGCTTGTGTAGGGCAAGGGTATGACCCGCGTCTGCGATCAAGGCCGGGAGCGGGATCTTGGATACACGACTGAGGCTAGATCGCACATCATCCTGCCATTGGGGGGTCCGCCGAGGGTTTCCCAGGCTGGGGATAGTCTGGCCGGATGAGTGCGGCAGTCGACACGGGCTGGGAGAGGGATCGTCCCAGCCGGGATTGCTGCTGGAGGCTCGCCTGTCCCGCTGGCGATGGCAGAGCAAGGGTCGCGAGAAACCGTTTACTGTCTTCTGGGGACGGGGGATTTCCCATTGGCCAGAAGTCGGATGTTGGGTGTTTGAACTGCAGCCGTCTGCGCGTATGATGCAGTGTTCCTTTGGGTCGGATTGACAGTGGGCTGGCGGCAGGGGTCTTTCTTCCTCCCGGGACTCTGGACCATCTGTCCCGCGCCAGCTGCTGGATCGAGTGGCCTACATCCCGTCGATACGGGGAGGACTTGATGAGAGCCCTGGTTCAACCTTATGATGGCCCAGGCGTTGACAGTGGCGGCAGACTAGACGTCAATGCCTCGACGGAGACCTTTCCCTAGCGGTGATCGTCTTCCCGTCAAGCTCGGCGTAGGACTTGAATACGACCACCGAACCCTTCGGCGGTCGGTGACGAACCAATGATGGATTTACTAACCCGCTCTTCTGAGTGCATGCAGGTTCTGACGGCATCCAATTACCCGCAGCACACCCATGCGGATGAACCGCAGGCAAGGACCCATCGCTGTGGGATGCGCACGCTCTGAGAAAGTCCGGGTGTTTGCAGTTTGCTCTCTCGTGCCCTCTCGGACATCGCCAGTGACGCCAACGTGGTTATGCAGCGCTGCGATGGGCATGGTCATTTTGATTCGCCCCGACGGGCTAGTGGGTACATATCTCGTGTTGCATAGGCTCCAACTATTGAACCGTTCAGTTCGAAAGCCTGGGTAATCGTGCATACCCAGATCTAGATCGATGCTCAGATTATGGGCGATGGCAGCGGGCAGGCGGAGTGCTTCACTGCCACGTCAGTATGAACCGTTCATCGGGCGTCCTGATCTCCAAGATCTTGTTCCAAAGCACTGATGGTGTTGAGAAAATCGTTGACTGCTGTTGTCTCGAGACAACGGCAGAAGAAATTCTGTCATGGTCCTTTTTCCAACAACATACCCTTCGGCTTGCTAGGGTCGCCTTCCCCGCCGCCGTCACGAACAGGGCTGAGGACTCTTGCTCTTCCACATTCAATCGAGTGCATACCGGCAATATGGGACGCCGATGGCTGCGGCAGGATCTCCAATTGGAGTGGGACCAGCACTGGGCGTGGGCTGGACGTGGGTTGGCTGGAGGGAGGCTGCATGATGTGTGGGGATGAGAAGGGCTCACAACTCTGCTGCTGCTGCTGCTGCCGCCGCGCACACCAGGACAGACCAAAATCACCCACCATGTGCTAGGTGTGGATAAGAGGAGTGCGAAATCGATCCGCTTGCGGGCTGGAGTGGATTTGCGGTATCTGTCACTTCTCTTTTCTGCTGAGGGGATGGTGATGCCGATGCCGCTGCCGATGGTGCAGTCGACAGAATCGAGAAAGACTTCATTTCCTGGTTTGCTGATTTGATTTTGGAATCGGGAGCCGATGCGATCAGTCGGATTCATTCTGGAGTTCGAAATTTGACGACGTAGACACGAGGCTGGTCAATCGAGACAGAGACGTATCTTCATTCGCATCTTTCGCCGCACACGAAGATGTATCCGAGCTGGATTTCGTCAATTCCGTGGAGGGGAAACCGAAAGATTCATGACCATGAATGACCCCATACCTCAGTGCGACGCCGTCACGAACTGCTCGCACTCACCGGTTCACCTATCACTTTTTGCTGCAGTTGATGCTGATGAACTTGCAGAAATGTCATGCACGGCCAGCTGTACCGCAGCCCGTCTGCAGTTGGACATGGAACGTCCCGCACCAACCAATCCTGTCAAGCCGGTGTCAGTCACGAAAAAGAAAGCATCCCCTCCCAAAAATGGCTGCGCAAAAAAACGAAAAAGCAAGAATGACGGCAGCAGATGTGAGGTCTGCAGTCAAACTTGTTTGTGATGGTGTGGTGTCAACACCATGCCCCTGGCTTGCGAAATACAACGTTCGGGCAGATGATCTGCTCTTTCACGTTCGATTCTAATGCACATTTGGATCACAACCTGCAAGAGCGCTTTCCTAATTCTGACACTTGGAGGTCAGACTACTTGATGCCTCTCCCCATTGAGACCACGTGCATGGGCAGGAGGGAGCGCTGTCAGATGTGCCCAGGCAGGCTTGACATGTCACATATTTTAGAGGTATGACCTTCAGATAAGTGACCGCGGCAGTTTGCAGGGTCGCCAGGGATCCAGGGATCTGGGCCTCCTCTGGCTTGGGGAGGAGTGGGCAATGGGCCCATGTTTACGACGGCAGCCGCCATATCCCGTGTTATTCGCAGGGAGAATGGAGCTGGAGCTGTGGATTCAACCATCGATCCTCGTGTGGCTTTCCCGACGATATACCTGAGATCCGTATCGAGATTGGATCAACCAAGTGAAGAAGTAGAGAAATGATATGAAGCTCCCCAAACCCGCTGGGGCGAGAGACGGCCGGCTTGAGGGGGACGGTTCGGTGGGGAGTCTGTGCGAATGCAGAACGGCTTGCGTCCGATGAGCCGCGCCGGTTGCATTAGCCTGGTTCCCCGGGACCAGGGGAGATGGAGGGGGCAAGAAGGAGTTGGGCGGAGCAATAGCAGACTGCGCTTGAGGGCCAAACATTGCAATACGGCAGGGCAGGTCTAGGCGTTGACGGTATCTGATGATGATAGCGGGATTCATCGGCCTAGTCCATAATGACTCATGGTGGATGGGAGTTTGCGCTTACTACTCAGGAAAACTGTGATCTGATAACTCCGGCATCCTTAGAATCCCTATTCAACTATTGAATAGATTAATAACAGCACCCGAGATATTGCATTTCTTCAGCTCATAATACTCATGCATGCTTATATGATCGCCATAGACCATGTATTATGAATAAGGTGGCTTGAGCAGTACCAGACTGCTAAATTTCCCTGGGTTCACGTCTCAATCCGATGAGTTTTCTCCAGATCTGTGGTATTGGCCTTGTCAGATATCATCGAGTGGCGTTTTCCAAAATTTCCATTATTCATTTCGGGACTGGCCTCCGGTAGTTCCATGCCCGAACCACCGACCCCCTATTCCCACAACACGGGGCCTCGGTCTGTTTGGTAATCAGTTTGAGCCGCAAACACAGTTCCGTGTCCGGGAGGGAGCTAGATCATCAAATCTTGCTCAACATCTAGATGGGCTCGTTACATCAAGAAAAGAAGACTTGACCATTCCATGTGTCCTTTTTGCCATCTTGATCAGATGGCTGGGGCGAAATTCGGCCCGGGTCTCGGAAGAGGCAACGGGGAGTAGAGAGAAAATTTGAAGAGCAAATATTGTTGTTTGTACTAGCCACATCCTCCATGGCAACGTCCTTATGTGCGTGTTTGGGGATGTTTATCCAAATATTTACAGTGAATCGGACCCCCCTCCTCGTGCCATCTTCAAATTCTTTGCCACCTGCTCATCTCAAGCAATGGATAATTTGCTCTAGACCATTGCCGGGACATTGATCTCCTTGATGGTCCAGACCTTGCCTCCTTGGCTGCTAGCCAGGCCAGTGTACGTAGCCTTCTGCGCAGTGGCGATGGTCTTGCCGAAGTTGGGGTCGGCTCCGGCCAGGGTGATTTCCGTGTTGATGTACTGCTGCTTGGCGACGGTCGGGCTGCAGTTGGCGTTGCACTCGGTGCCGGTGCCATAGCCCCTCATGAAGGGACCAGACTTGTACTCGTACGAGCTAAGCTTCGCGCCCGTGTCGGCATCGGTGACGGTTTGGCGCCAAGTGTTATTGTCCGAGAGCAGCTCGTAGAGAATCTTGACCTTCTGGTTACCTGAGACGGCACTCGCGTCGCCGCTGAGCTGGCCGAAGGAGCCGAAGAGCGAGGCGCGGACGCACCACTGGCCCTTCTTGGCGCCGCACCAGGAGTTGTCGGGCCAGGACTCGAGGGTTGTTTGGACCAGGTCGCCGGTGCCGTTAGACATGCCGGGCCACAGGGCGAGAGCTCCATTTTGCGTGGGAGGAGCGTCGCCGGGGATGATGGTTGTCACGGCTTTGATGATGGTCGAGGTGGTCGGGCCCAGGGACACGGAGCCGCCCCAGGTGTCGACAGCAACCGACGTGCCGATCATGGCGGCGGCCAGAGCCGACTTGAAAATTCCAGAGATCATATTTGGAGTAGTGATAGAGACAGTTGGGCTATTATCGAGTTGCGCTGAGTTACAAGAACGCCTTTCCCAGAATCAAACGGAAATCATAGGTATTTTATGTTGGCCCAACATGAGGGGGCCTTCCTCACTCGCTACTAGTGAGGCACTTCCATCGTGAATTTGGAAATGTTCGCCTGCCATTGCAAGGCAACATCAATATCGCAGGCGAACACGAGAGTTGCTTTTGTTCGTGGAGGAAGTTGATGGAGTTGAAGTCAAGCTGACCCCTGACGGAGAGAAATTCCCCCATCCACCAATGAGAGGACAGACATTATGCCAGGTTATGCCGTCCACCAACCCATACGACCGTAGCATCTCCCCATATTTTACACAATAAGTTACCGATTCAATCCTAGCTCCATCTGATGTTCATTAAGGGGGCCGCCATTTGGACGGATTGAGTCGGTCAGTTCTGCCGACAAGGCTTTTCGGGGCCACTGCCTGCGGGCCTCGGCCCCAGGTAACTGCGTTACATAAGCTGCGTAGTTCAAAAAAGAAACTTTTTGAGACTAATTAATAGGGTACTTATAGCTATACTACTATAAGTCCTCTTACGTTTAACACTACTATATCTTAGCTAATAAAGCTATCTACTATATTAATATTATTAGTATCTCTATTAATATAATATCTAAAGTTTAATATAAAGTACTATTAATATAGCTTTAAAAGCTTACTATATATAAATAATATATAACTAGTTTATTATTAGACTTCTTAAAAGCTATATATAGCTTAATAAGCTAAGCCAAACTTTTTAATAATAGTTTATTTTACTATTTATTAAAATTAACTTATTTATTCTCTTAAAACTAAAATCTTTCTTAATAAAATATATATAGAAGTAAGGATATTATTAGAAATTAGGATTATATAGATAGCTAACTATAACTATCTCTATATTATAAACGTTAGTAAAGTTAACTTAAGCTATTTTAGAAGAGATTGATAAAGATATTATTATAGAGGGGCTAATATAGTATTAGAATCCCTACTAGTTTAGCTAGTTTTATAGCTATACTAATCCTTACTTTTAAAGTTATTTATAACTTTAAGAGATAAAGCTAAATAGTAGTATATCTATTAACACTTCAAAGCTTATTAGTAAAAAAAAAAAATCTCTTTCTAGAACACTAAAAGACTAGGTAAAAAAAAAAAAAAAAAAAAAAAAAAAAGAAACCCCCAAAACCAAAGCTTTTCGGGGCCACATGGCCGGCCCTCGGTTGCGCAGAGTGGAGTCTTACCATCGGGGTCTGTCAAGATTCCAGCCGGAGGATGTCCGAATCGGGTATTTCAAGTGCCGTGAGACCCGTCCTCCCATTCCTTAATAGCGGTCTGGATTCCACTAATAACCTGACGGTGTCTTTCGAGGGACCGAAGGACTGGTGCGCCAAGGGGCTACGGGGAATTTCCACTCTTGACCAACATGCAGTCGAAGCCTAGATTGACAACCATGATGCCGCGTCTTGACCCGTCACTGCATGTCAACTCCATTTTTGCGGTAGCTTAGAAATAGGTTTAACCTGGATCCTGTTGAATCTTCATCAGTGGCAAAGGGCCGAAGAGGTTGGGCACAAGCACTGCCAAAATAGTGGAAACACGGAACGGGTTACGGGGGCCCCGAGTGTCACCATCCTAAGCCAGTGTCTTGACCTGCATAGCGCACTACGCAACGTGACAACCACTAAGCTATGGAATATCGGAGTCATACACTAGGACAGACTATCACGATCGTAATTATTACAAGAAATCAGGGTCAATAAAGCTAGCAAGATATTTGCAATGTGACCAAATCGTTGTATGTGTCTAAGATTTCATTGACATTCAAGACTGACATGATCTCGCACTCCCCGACAGCATCTTTGCCAGAGACTACTGCTGGGTCGCAGGCCTATAGTCTTACAAACCACGCAGAGGAGCCGGTAAAATCGATGATCGACCTCTTGCTTCTCGTACCCTTATCTCAAAATCAATTTTCGATGACTAACTGAACTAAGTCTTACTATGTCGACGAGAAACTGTGGGCGATTTGTTGTTTGGGTTCCTGTTGTGCCTGGCAAGCAGCCGCGTCAAATTTAGATAACTACATTCTGGTGGAAGCCTGAGGACAAATCCAACAGAGCGAAGGCCCTCTTTTACTGTAACGATATCTCCTATCAGGCCCATCTGTCGAAAAGTAGTGCCCATGAATATCGTCCCAACCTAGACGGCAGTTATCGCACAAAGTCTTTAGCAAGCGTGCCGGCTGTCTGTAACGCTTTGTCGACTGGCACGCACCTTCAGTGGCATCATTCCTGCCTTCAATGCATCACTCCAACAGCTTCTTTGTCTGAGAGGATCACGAAGGCTTTCGTGCAGGATCGCAAAAGATTCATGACAGACTCTCTCTGTAGTTTCATCTGACCTTCATTTGCGTCTATGGCGAAGAACCAGAACTACGAGTCCCTGCGCATGACCCTACGAAACATGAACGAAGTTTACATCAGTGGGCCTCTTTCGGTACTAGAGACAAACCATCACTGGTGAACATCAAGGTACCTCATAATGAAGAAAGTGTGACCAGCGACCTGCATAAGGCATACGAAAACTTTTAGCAATTCCATATATATGAACATTTGCATGAGGACTTGGCTGTAGTCAGATGATTTGGTTACCGAAACGATCCGTAGGTGAAGTAGAAGTCTAGAACCGAGTACGGCCGGATCCGTGATATGCCGCGCAAGGCCCAGCAGCCCCTTTTTGTTTCATTTGTCGCCAGCACTCTTTCCAGGGCTCCTAGAACGCCGGCGCCAATCCTGGACGACGAAATCTGCAGAACTAGATCGACAGGTCATTGTTGGTGCTTCTGTGGACTCAATGTCCTCGACAGAGTATGAAGGACATAGGAGCATCAAGGGGTAGTGAGGCTTTACGGGTCATGCATACCCGAGGCACTAAGGCCGAGCTCAGTAAATCTTTGGGGCTTTGCTGTTTACAAGTACAGAATCAATGATCAAGTTCCAAGGAATGCGTGCTTTTTCGGTGCCTGGCCAACTCCAGATCCTCGATAGCCACAGCGTCTTGCCCCTGAGGCACTCGGTCTGTGGGGTAACGCAAGCCTAGCTAAGAGGTTAACGTGGTGCGAATGTTTCTTTTTGTTTCGTTCGATCGAACCCCAAGCAAGCTAAACTCTAGGAAATTTGCAAAAGCAAGCGAGCTTGATCCTAGAAATAGAAACGGCGGCGCCCTGTCCCAAGGAAGTCAGGCACTATCTTCCATCTTTGAGAGTCCAGATGTACTGGCTGTTCTCAGCCGAACGTAGCTTACTTCGCCACTGAAGCCAAAAGCTGGGTTGATTCATTGTTTGGTACTAAAACAGAACCGACCCTAGTCGCGTGTCTGTCTTTTATGTACTTAACCCGGCGATTTGAATGTTACTGCGGTGCTTGTGATGATTTATTTTACGAAGCGTCAGGACTGTAAAAGGACATGTTCCAACGCCCGAAGTCGAGCTAGATTTCAGCAACTAGTGCCGTACCCGGAATCAAATACTTCGCAGAGAGAACAGGTGCACTAACTACAAACAACAGCACTTGTTTTCCGAGGATCTCGGGGCGCAATGTTATCGTCTGTGCCGAGTCCACTTATCCCCGTCAGGGAACGCCCCTCTTTGTGAATGCCGCCTAACCTTGTACTGTAAAGTTGTTCCTGACGATCTTGAAACGTTCAACAGCTTCAGAGAGACGCTAGGCTCGTGCAGAATATTTCCGAGAGCCAGCTCGTCTGCGAGTTATGCTTACGAGAACACCGGGTAGCATTTGCGACGGTCTCGTGGAGGTTCTTGAGTCAACATGAGGCGATTCCTTTGGAAACGGGCTCACCACGCGGAAGCGAAATGATACAATGCGAGAAGAGCCTACTTTGTTGCAAATCCAAAGCCAGCCCCCTGGCTTGGACAGCTGATGGAGGCCACTTGCCCTGCCACATCCTCAAAGGCTCAAGACTGCTGCTAAAGTGCGGGAAAGTTCAGAAATACTGGCCAACCGTTCGGACATCTCCGGTCAAAAAAACTTCCTAAGACGGGAATATCATGTTTTACTGATTGTCTAGCAGGTCTACATCACAGAGGTCAGTGGACTTGGAATCCGGCAATCAACTTCATACGGGCCTTGTCTAACATAACGGAAAATAAACTGATAATTGCCGTGTGCGCTGGACATACTGATGTGAGTCTGTATCTGGAAAGATTGGGGGGATCTAATAATCCGCCAGATATTAAGTCTTGCGCCTTACTTCTTCCGACATTTGGTCATTTGGATTGGCGCTGTTTTCGCTCCTTACGATAATTGTTTACAGGCTTGAGCCCGGTGTAAGCGGGGGATGGCCGTTTCTCGGTTGGCGGGCTCGACTTGTTCCCGAACTGCCGCTGCTAGAACTGATGTTTCTAGCTCTCAATTGAGAGCGCAGACGAGCTATGGTCACGGGACAACGCCATAGCAAGGCTGTCCCCTGCCTGAGCTGAGCTTAAAATGAAATCACCAAGGGAGAGCACGGCGGCTAGGTTGGAATGATCGGCATGAACGTCCATGGATGGTGGCGTGTCGTAAGCGATGTAGCTAGCTGTCAGGCACAAATCTGGAATGCGGGTGGATAGGACCGAATGGAGTCTTTAGCTAGACTCACGATGCGAGCATACATAACTTTACCACATGAAGTCGTTGCTTTCGACAAGGCGAACCGCGAGCTTACCTAGACACATTCATGTCCATTTACGACACGTGCCGTCTAGACAGTCAGTTGGCATGGGCAGATTTCTGCCTCGGCCAGCAACCCTGACTTGTCAAACCGACTAGGACTCCACGATGGCCTAGATGAGAATGGACCTGAACTTTCGGTACTCCAGTCATCATTATCAATCTCGAGGGACAAGGTCACCCCATCGAACTGCCAAGCGCGTCCGGTGGTGATTGGGCCCTTCTGACGGCGGTCGTCTTGATCCATTCGTGAGTCGTGGCATTAAAAGCGCTTATACCGGCAGTTGTTGGTAGGGCATCCCTGGGTCACCACGCGAAGTTTGAACGGCAGCTTACTGGGGACAGAACTAAGGTTCGAACCTGCTCAATGAAACAAGACTATTCGCTCAATCTCCTGACAACCCACCAAAAAGCTCCGAAGTCAAAAGCTTGAAACAGACTTCAAAGTCTATCACTTCCCCAAATCCCCTCACTCGGGTTTCTGTAAAAGCCTTCATCCCGCATTTTACTTTCAGCCGCTGTGCCGTTGTCCCGCGGGGTCGTCCGTCGATAACAAACAGATCTAAGATAAGTTGTGTCTCCCAAAGTAAAAACCAAGCGATGGGTGTCTGAAATGACGTGTGAACGTAAATCGGTGATCGCAGTCTATCGTCAGGGAAACCGACAGATCGAAACAGCAGCCTCCTCTGGCTGGCCCTAGTTCATCGCATGATTCTATGTTCCAAAGGTCTTGGCGGACATTAAGAATTATTGGAACCGCTGGTCTGTCTGGAAAGTTTCCTATCCCTCTTAACGACAACTATTCCAAACAAGTCAAGAACAAGCCCAAAATCCTTCGCGAACAGCCAGGCACTGACTTGACCCTGTTATACCACCATACGCAATGATTAGGCTGTCATGGGCTATGTGAGCCCCCAGTCCTACCAACCGATCCTATCATCTGAAATGTCCTGCGTCTGCCTTGCTGCTGAACCAATCTTCGAACATGTGGTCGAACGATGTTTGCCTTCACAACCGCGCCGCTTAAGCACATTTCAGCCGACCCGCTCGTCGAGCCTCATACTGCCCTATTCAAGTATAGTGAGTACGAAACTGTCGAATTCGTGATGCAAGCTAAAGTTCTGGAGGGAATACTAGCCGACATGCCAACATGTGGGCGTACCCCGAAGAAGGTGGAAGCTCCGAATGCATGCACCTCAATCCTTCACCAGCAACTCAGGGACGACCATTTACATGCCAGTAAGACGTACGTGAATGCTCGATTGACAAACGGGAAAATGGCCCATACGATAAGCGGCCGCCATCGATATTCATCTGCCTTCAAGATAAACGAGCCCCGGCCCGTTGCGGCCGCGCCGCTGAACAGCTACAAAAGTACCCTTTCCAAATCTTGACGTACCTTCGGCCATTAAACTGACTATAAGCCAGGGCTTCTGCATTTGGGTGACACAAAGATTCTGGAGGCCATTGCGAGAGCGCAGAGAGATTCGCAAGTTCCGTTCCTGATGGCTTGGTTCTTCACCCTTCTCAGTCCTCGGGGCCTTGATATCATATCTATAATCTTGTACCTGCTCGCTTTCTACGTCGTCGCAAAGTACACCCACCGAGCTCTCTTATGCCCCTTGTCCAAATTCCCTGGGCCCAGGCTTGCTGGAATCACCAAGCTTTACGAGGCATACCACGTTCTGATCAGGGACGACTGGCTCGAGAACCTTGAGTCGCTGCACGGTAAGTACGGTATGGTTGCACGCCTCCCAAACTTCTATAACCACTTCTGATGTACATCTTAGGCCCAGTGGTCAGAATCGGCCCAAACGAGCTGCACTTCACTGACCACCAGTTCTGTCTGGAGTATCACAAGCGTCCAGAACTCCTGAAATGCGACAACTACTACGGACTTCTCAATAAACTCCTCGGAGGCTTGGCGAGTCCGACGAAACACATTCAAAGAGCATCAGCAGTGCGACCTATATTCTCAGGGAAGACGCTGGCACAGTTCACACCAACTCTAGACAGCCATCTTGAGTCTTTCTACAAACGTCTCAACGATGTTGCCGGGACCGAAGACGCCGTCAACTTGACGCACTACTTTTGGGCTTTCACCAACGACGTTATGGTGTCATATCTCGTCGAAGAGGACTATGGGTTTCTGAGGATCTTCGACCTAGAAGCCGTACACAACAAGACTCGAGCGTTCAGCGCGATTGACCTCGCCACCGTCTTGAGATGCATGCCTCCCGTTAAGTTCATCTTCGACCATCTTCCTATCCTTCGATCCTACTCACCACTGGGTTGGCTTGATACTGTTAGTTACTCTCCTGGACATGTGAAACACATGTGCTGACACACTCTCAGCTCGTCAGCAATCACGTTAAACCTATCGTGAAGTCATGGGACGATGAGAATAGCTACGAGGGCATTCTAGCTCGCATGTTCAACGAAATTGGCAGCGAGACTCTCGCCATCCATGAGTCATCGCAGGCTATCTTCATCGGAAACGAGTCGCTTCTCAGTAACCTCACGTTCCTACTGCATCACCTGGTACAAAACCCGGATTGTATCAAGAAACTGAGGAATGAGCTCGACACACTTGATCTTGGCTTGTATGGCCACAGAATCTGGCGAGACCCGAGGGTGCTGCAGTTGAGGTATCTGGTAAGCATATGTGCTGTCTGTTAAGTATGGCTGGAGACTGACACTTGCACAGGATGCGGTGTGTAAGGAGTCAACTCGCTTAAGCTCTCCGGGATGGCATCGACAGCCACGACAGAGTCAATCACCGGTGACATATCAGGACTCCATTATCCCTCCAATGGTAAGTCCGAATCATTTGTTTGCTAGCAAGTATCCTACTGACATGATGTAGACAAGCATGAGCTTCACCTTGAGGCTCCTCGAACATGACCCAGAACTTTACCTCGAGCCAAACACTTTTGATCCTCAAAGGTGGCTAGGAATTGACGAGGATACAAAAGAGGCGAGGAGTCGTGCTGTAACATTTGGGACCGGAACCCGAACTTGCTTGGGTCAGCAGTAAGTAGCGATCTGGACCAGGAAGCCGCCGACGCACAGCGCTAATTTACTATTCCTAGCATTGCTCAAAGGGTATTGCGGAAGACGATCGCTTGCATTCTATACAACTTTAATGTCTCTCTTTGGGACCAAAAGCTTGACATGACGACTGGTTACAGATACCTGGACACGTATCCCAAGAAAGGGCACGAAGGCTACATGAAGGTTCGGTTGTCGCCTCGATTCGAGCATAAGGCATGATGAGTTTCAGTTCAGTCTATGATACCACCAGATTCCCGATAGAAAGGGAGGTTGTGAGATTTAACTATACCACCTGTCGTTTAGACTTATCATATCAACTTCAACCCAATAATACCCAAGTTAATGCGCATGCACGATCGCAAGTGACAAGAAAGATGCGTCTACTTATCTAACCCGCGATCGTGTCCGGGGGCATGGGCTGGTTTGCTGCCACAAACGGTTTCGGCGGCCACTCTCCAGCTTCGAAAGCACATTCAAACTCATGAACGCCAGAAGAAACCTTCAGCGTAGGTTCCCCATCCTCGTCAAATCCCTCACGCAACCCCGATGGCAACGTCACCACTGCAGAACAATTTGGCGGTACGCTCAACTCCATCTTGAAATTGCCGCCCTCGAGCTTCCACTCACAAGCCACTCTTCCGTAGGGCCCGTCAAATGAGGCCTTTGCGCTTGTGAGGTTGCCTCCAGGGACGGGACGCACGCGGATGACCTTCCACCCTGGCTCAAGGGGCGATATTCCACCCACAGTTCCGTGAAGCCAGTCCGCCACCGCGCCGAGGGCGTAATGATTGAAGCTGGTCATCTGGCCAGGATTGATGCGGCCATCTGGCAACATGCTGTCCCAGCGCTCCCAAATAGTCGTCGCACCCATCGTGACGACGGGGTACATCCAGCTAGGGCACGTTGTCTCAAGAAGCATGCGGTACGCAAGCTGAGGTCGACCGATCGTGGTGAGCGCATGTGAGATGACTGGTGTACCAGCGAATCCAGTGCTGATGTGAAACCTTGCCGTGCGAACCAGCTTTTCCAAAGCTTTTGCGGCCGTCTGACGTTGAAAGGCATCGTTCGGATACAGACCGAATTGGAATGCAAGCGCAAGACCGGTCTGAGAGCTCGACATCAGGTTTCCTTCCGGGGTGATGTAACGCCGCTGGAAGAGGCCCTTCAACCGTTCGCCATCACTTGCATACTTTGCAGCCAGGTCAGCTTTGCCTAGCTCAGCGCAAAGTCGAGAAAAGACCAAGGTCGTGTGGACAAGGTACGTATTAGCCACAAGAATGCTATCTGTTCGTCCGTTGCCTGGATCGTCGGGGGGGGCGGTTGGATCCAGCCAATCTGCAAGCTGCCACTTGTCAGGGTTCCAAAGGCCGTCTGAGGCGCGGTCGACCCCTTGATCTAACCAGGCTTGCATGCTGGCAAATTGTCGCTCTAGTAAACCCTTGTCGGAGCTGTATTTGTAGAGGGCATCTGGAGCGAGAACGGTCACGTCGTCCCATACAGCTTGTGCGATGTGAGGCCAATTAGGGCTGATGGCAAGCGGCACTACCAACGGCGGGATGCCCCCTTTTCCTTCTTCAAGCTGCTCCGCCGCGACATCCTGGAGCCAGTTACCGAGGATACCCAAGGTATCGTACAAGAACGTAGCCGTTGGGCAAAACACCTGTAAGTCGCCAGTCCAGCCAAGCCGCTCGTCTCTCTGTGGGCAATCGGTCGGAATAGAGAGGAAGTTTCCTCGCATAGACCAGACGACGTTGTTATGAAGTTGATTGACAGATTCATTGGAACACTCGAAGAACCCTCGCCGCTTCATGTCCGTATGCATGACAAGTGCACTGATGTCCTCGGTTGATGGGGCGCCACCCGGCCATCCATCAACTTGAACGAAGCGGAAGCCATGGAACGTGAACTTGGGCGTCCAGTCTCGAAGGTCCTGCCCCGAACCGATGATAGTGTCGAGGGCCTTGGCGTCCCTGAGAGGCCTAGTACCAAGCTTATCGTTCTCTATGACTTCGGCATGCCGGAACGTAACCTTTGCCCCTTTTTCTAGTTGCAGGGACTTGACGAGGAGCTTTCCGACGAGGTTCTGCCCGAAGTCTAGGATCGTCTTGCCGCTCTTGCTTTGGAACACTTTGACGCAGGGCTTGGTCTCGATCACACGAACAGGCGGCGCGTCAGGGGCAACCAGCTTCGTCTGTGGCCATGGGAGGGCCTTTGTCCCAAGTGCCTTGGACCAGTCTGCATCTGTCAGGTTCCATCCCTGCTTCTCTTCGTTCAGATCGTATGTTTCGCCGTCGTATATCTCACTGTTCGTAATCGCGCTGGGGAGAGAAGACCAGGTGTCGTCCGACAAGAGTGCCCACGGCTCAGCTGACAGGGACCTGACCTCAAGCTGCGCAAACAGGCCAATCACGTCACCATAGCGGAAGCGAATACCGCCCTTGAACCCAAGGCGTCCAGCATACCAGCCCTCGGCTACCTCGACGCATATTGTGTTCTTCTTGCCAGGAAGTAGAAGGTTCTTCACGTCAAGGATGCGGTAGACGAGCCGGTGTCGGTAGCTGGTCCAACCAGGAGCCATGCACTCATCTGTAACTGGCTTTCCGTTGATGGTGGCTTCAAAGACGCCAAGAGAAGTGATGTAGAGTCTTGCTGAAGAGTTGTCGAGATTGATGTTATCAGGGATGGTGAATTCCTTGCGGAATCGAATAGGCCGTAGCGGTCCATGGGGACCGATCTGCTCGGAGGACGTGATGAAGCTGGCTCGGAAGTCTTCTCCTTTCAGAAGAGCGGCTTCGACAGTGGCCGGCTCTGACCATGGACTTGGCTCTTCGGCCTTGTATGCGTCGTCGCTGAGACTCTTTCCGTATACACGAACTCGAACTATGGCGGAGTCTCGCGAAGCCAAATCTCGAGCTGGCCAAGGCACCAAGACGGATTGGTCGCTGGTTTCACGGAAGATTTGGGGCTCGCCATTTGGAGTGAAAGTGACCTCAAGCTCATAGGCGGTTTGGGTCCAAGCTGCGACCGTGGTTTTTGTTGTTTCGAATTGCCAGGAGATTCTGGGTCTGGAATACTCTACACCAAGGCCGCTGTGGTGGTGTTCAAACACCGGCTTGGTGATGGTGGGACAAGACATGGTTCGGACGTATCTTCAATGTTGGCTTGCTGTCCATGGGTTCATGTTTCTCAGGAAACTAGTACATGAAATATTCTCAGCCTAAAGGGTCTTCACCTGTGCTAAGATACTTACTCCGCCGGTGCAAAGGAGTCCGAATCGGGGAGTCTAGGTGCGAGATATTAGTTCTTGGAGTCGAGGGATACCGGCATCGGCATACGAAGATCACCGGGCATCTCTCCGCATCTGCCAAGCACGACATGCGGCTTGATACCGTGATGCAAAGGATTGGCTGACGGGAATAACCCGAGCAAGCACGATTCACTGGCGGAGTCTCCGCATCCCCGCAGGAGCTAAGGCTCACCTCCCTCGCGATCTCGGTACTACCTTACAACAATGAGACGATCCTTGCGTGGGCTGCCGATGCTGGTCCCAGACTCTTGGGTTGTTGCTCACATAGTACCGAGGCCGTCGGGTTACCTTTGCACCGAATCATCTACGAGGTACAAGGGAGGCAAAAACACACAAAAGCAGATAAGCAAAACCCCAGATTTTCCACTTGCATGATGGAACCATTCTTCCCCAGACGTCCTTCTACTCCACACTAGATATCTTGATCAGCATGAGCTTCCTCATCGTCGCCATAGCGCTTGTCGCTGCGCAGGGCGGCTTCATCTACGGCTTCGATTCTGGTAGACAACCGTCCAAGTCTATCAGAAAAAAACTGGCTAACTCTATCCAGGAATTATTGCCACAACTTTCGGCCATGACAGTTTCAAGCTCAAGATGTACGGGCCTTCTATGGTCAACACAGCGTACACAGGTGCAATCGTTTCCGTCTACAACGCAGGCCAGGCCATCGGCGGCATGACGACCGGATATCTCGCCGACAGATTCAGCCGAAAGTACACGATTCTTATTGCATCGATCCTGACCATCATTGGGTCCGTTCTCCAATGCGCTGCCATGGAGGTTGGAATGATGATTGCTGGACGTCTGATAGCAGGCATTGGATGCGGCGAGCTTCTCTCCGTTGTTCCCATCTACCTTGCCGAAGTCGCACCGCCTGCCCGTCGTGGGTTTCTCGTCGGACTACAGGGAATGATGATTGCCATTGGTTTCGGAATCGCTAACTGGGTCGGGTTTGCTGGGGCTTTTGCCTCCGGAGATGGACAGTGGCGGATCCCATTGGCGATGCAGCTCCCCATCCCTCTTGTACTCTCCGTCATGGTGTTCTTCGTTCCCTTCTCGCCCCGTTGGCTGATTCTCAAGGACCGATACGAAGAAGCCAAGGCGGTTCTGGCCAATCTGCACGGGGCGACGGATAACGACGACCTGGTCGGACGAGAGCTCATCCAGATCAGGGAGCAGATATTGATGGAGAGGCAGCAGGGTAACATGAACTGGGCCACGGCCATCAAGCAAATGTTCTCGCGCCAGTACGTCCGTCGCACTCTCACGGCCGCCTTCATCGTCACCATGGGCCAGCTCAGTGGTTCCTCCGTCATTCAAAACTTCCAGAACATCTTCTACGCGACCGTTGGATTTACAGGTCGAACGGCTTTGCTCATCAGCGGCGCGTATGGTATGATGGGCATCATAGGCCAGGTCATCTACCTCGCAGTGGTGGCAGACCGCTGGCCACGAACGCGCACCCTCTGGAGCGGCTCTCTCGTACTGAGCGCCATGATTGCTCTCTGCATGGCTTTGAGTGCGGTGTATGGCAACAAGGACAACGACAACGCTGCCGGAGCGAGAGCGGCCATCGCGGCAATCTTCGTCTACTCCATGTGCTACGCAATCTTCTTCAATGCCATGATCTGGGTCGTGCCTTCGGAGCTATTCCCCTTCTTCCTTCGTACTAAGGGTCTCGCCTTTGCGGTCGCGACGAAGTCCGTCACCGCTATCGTGCTTTCGCAGATTACGCCTCTTGCCATTGCGTCTGTCAGCTGGAGGTCAGCCAGGCCTTCTGATATGCGCCTCGCTTCATACCTTACTAACACGGTTTCTAGGTACTACTCACTCTTCATCGCAACTAATCTCGCCGCGGCCGTCTTTTACTTCTTCTGTCTCCCTGAGACGGTATGTGACCCTAGGCCTTACCCAAATAACCATACCTCGCTAACACTAGGAGCCAGTCCGGAAAGTCGCTGGAGGAGATTGCGGAGCTGTTTGGCGACGATCTTGCCACGAATCGCCTGGGAGATCTCGACGTAGACGCCAAGAATGGTATTGGGCCGGAGGCAGAGTTCCACGAGTTTTCTGAGAGGCGCCCAGGTACTCGGGCACAAGATACTGCCACTCGTGTGTAGTTTAGTTCAGTAGTCAGGGGTCCATGGTCCATGAACCTTCTAATGCGACGACGCTCTTTGAGTGATAGAAACCGTCACATCATGCCATGCTTCCAGCAGCCTGCCGCCTTCTCTGTCGCTATCTTTCGCCATTCCCACATAATGCCCATGTCTCCTTCACATGGTTGTTGCCCCTTAACCAGCTCATCGGCCTCGTGCTCGTTGCATTGAATAGCGAACGGGAGCGTGGGACTCACGGTCAAGTCGTAAGACAACTGCAAATACCGCCCCTCCCTCGTCATGCCTGTAACCGAGACAGCGCGCTTTGAGCAGAACAGATCGAGCCATGCTCCTTGAAAGTCCGCACCGACACCGAAAGTCCCCGGACCGCTGCTTGAGGTCTGCTCGAGGTGGATCTTGTCCCCATCCCGACGTGGGTCACACGGCACCGCGGGGTAGACGGTCTTCTACCCGAGAGGCCATCCTGTCGAGCTAAGAACTTTCCCCAGACGACGTTATGGATCCTTTCGGGGGAGCGATTTGGCTCCCCCTAGCGTCTTTTTGCTCGGTCGACATCGCCCGAAGCTCTGTGACGTGATGACGAACTCCTGCGCCGCAGAGAGCCACAGATGAAAGCCACATCGGAGAGAAAGCCGATATTCGGACTTGAGGGCCGTCATTCATGTCGGAATAATGCACATTGTAATCGAGGTATTATCGTGAAATGTAAACTTGGAGCTTCATAAAGTTGTCCTCATAGCTTTCTGTTCATGTCTGAATTCCTTTGATGCGGGCGACCATCTCATGTAACACCTACGTCATACCCTCTGACCCTCACCTTCACCTACATCATCACCACTCATTCAATCTCAACTCAACTCACTCCAACCTCATCAACAGCACCACAAAATGATGAACTCAGAAGCAAACCACATCCTCATAACGGGAGCCGCCGGGTTCATCGGCCAGGAACTCACAACGGCCCTCCTCCTCTCCTCCCCCACAATCCACCTCACAATCACCGACGTAGTAACCCCGTCCATCCCTCCGCAATCCATCGTCCCAGACGGCGCGTCACGCATTACGGCCCTCCAGACAGACCTCACATCCCCCGATGCCGTCGCCGCGCTCCTTACGCACCACTCGCGCTTCAACGCAATCTACCTCCTCCATGGCATCATGTCCGGCGGCGCAGAGGCGGACCTCGACCTCGGGCTGCGCGTGAACCTGGACAGCCACCGGTACATCCTCGACGCCCTCCGTCAGCCGACCTCGCCTCATCGCGGGACTGTCGTGGTGTTCCCCAGTTCGCTCGCCGTGTACGGTCCAGTTGGGGGCCAGGTCGTCACCGAGACGACGTGCCCCACGCCGCAGTCCTCGTACGGTGCCGAGAAGCTCATCATCGAGACCTTGGTCGGGGACTATTCCCGCCGTGGGCTCCTAGACGGCAGAATCGTCAGGCTGCCCACCATCATCGTCCGACCCGGAGCGCCCAGCGCCGCCGCGTCGTCGTTTGCGTCGGGCATCGTGAGGGAGTCGCTCAAGGGGGAGGATAACATTCTGCCCGTGGGCCCGGAGCTGGCCATGTGGGTGTGCTCGCCGAGGACGGTTGTTGCGAACCTGGTCGCTGTGAAGGACATCCCGAAGGAGAACTTTGGGCTGTCGAGGGTGGTCAATCTGCCGGGTATCACCGTGACAGTGGCGGATATTTTGAACGCATTGGAGGGTGTCGGGGGAATGGAGGCTCGGGCGAGGGTGACAGAGGAGCGAAACCCGCAAATCGAGGGTATCGTGGGGAGTTGGCCGGCCCTGTTTGACGTTTCGAAGGCGCTTCAACTCGGGCTGGCCCAAGATGCGGATATCGTAACCACAGTCAAGGACTTTGCTGAGCGGCTTCGGGCCGGGCTATAGCATTAGAAGCTCGGTTCACATCCAAAAAAGTGATTATAAGTTTCACCGTCTGAACGCAACTCGAAAGCCATAAATCGTCTATGCATTTTGTTTTCGCACGGGGTATCTAGGGTGGTTGCCTGCGACTCACGTTCGTCCCCTGATAGAATTCGAATACGCAGTGATAGAAAAGGAAAGATGAGGCGCTGATGCCTTTACACACTCGCACGAACCTAGTCGTCCCACTCCTCGTCCAGCTGGTCTATCAGACGGTTCTCGTCCTCGCGGTTACGTCCTCTGCTGGGAGATCCGGACAGATGACGGTAGCCACGCCTTCCTGGCAGAAGTTGAGCACATGAAGAGGTCGCGATGACAAACATGTCCTGTTTATGGTGTTAGTTCCCCTCAACCACTAGTAGCGCGAAGGTCTACGTACACTGACAAACCCCCAGATGCCGGCCCAGAGGCTGTAGTTGGGCAGTTGCCGCCAGCCCCGGGCATGAGCGACAGTACGCTGGTAGAACACACCACCACCAAAGTATACAAGCACGGCGATCACAAAGATGATGGCGAAGACACTGCCGGGTCCGACGCTGCCAGGCTGGTGGGGTTCGGCTCTGGCACAAGCGTGCTGGGAACGGGCCTCGAAGAAGTAGGCGCAGTCGTCGGGATCTGAGCCGACGAAGGAAATGTGGGCTGCTCCACCAATCTGTTCCGTGTCGCAGTGGAAGGAGATGGTTGCCGACTTGCGGCGGGTTGGCGTATCGTCCTTTTCAGCCGAGGCCTTCTTCTTGCCGACTGCAGACGGTGCGATGAGGGTTCTGTCCTCGTCGTCGGTGTATCTGTTGTAGGAAGCGCCGTCATGGGCCGTTGCTCGCTTGGACTTGCTCTCGCCGCAGGGAGAGCCGTTCTTGTATTGGAGGACCAGAATGCGCCCGCGGGTTTGTATGTCCATGTTGGATTGACTACGTCGCGCATTTGTTAGTTTGAACAGAGTTGATCATGAGAGAGCAGAGGCAACGAACCCTATGGAGAAAGTTTCGGTCTTGTATGTGTAGTACGCGCTGACGTTCTTGGACTCGCCCTTGCCCAACCCCACTACGTCTTCGACAGGGTCGATGACGGGAGCGCAAATATTGAGGGTGAAGTTCTTGCCATAGTCCCAGCCCCTAGCATGGTAGTCGGTCGTGACAGCACCCTTGGATGATTTGCCCTCCTCAACCTTGACGGCGATGTCTGGACGCAGGTCGTAGAACGGCCCGCCGGTCCCGCTCTTGGACGCTGCCGTGCATGCCGGGACGCTGCTGGATGTGCTCGAGGTCGAAGTGTCGGCGGCGCTCGCGGTCGCGGCTGCTGCGAGGAGCAGCAGGAAGTTGGAGGAATGCATCAAAATGGATGGTTTTGAGTCGTTCTAATATCGATGAAAGGGGTCCAGGCCAGGGAGCGCGACTGGAATGATCGTGTTTGCGGGAGTAAGCGCTTCGGAGCGCGGAGAAGCGTGGGTCGGCTCGGGGCCTATGACATCAATTGCGGATGCTGCAAATCTCTGGAGAAGTGGAAATGAAGCGAATGATGCTGCAGTGCTGTGCGACGGTGATGGACAAAGACGTAAATGCGGTCGAGAGGCACTTTGGAGGACAGTTTGGAGGATTTGGACGCTGGGCAAGTGGGAAGCCACTTGGTCATTCGTCAGCCTTTCACAGGGAGATGCCGACGGGGGACGGGAGTGACGGGAGGGGGTGCATTGATTGGTGGATGGGCGCTCCTTGCAGCGTCCGCCCCTCTGCACCAGGCTGCATTCAGATCCCACGGGGGCCACCGTACAGGCTTCCCTAAGGGACCCGACAGCTTCCAATGGCTGCCTGCAGCCTGCCCTGCGGGACACTCTTTCCGCGACCAGTATGGACAGGGTCACGTGTCATGCAGGTCCTATGTACTCAATCTGGGGAGATTACCTAAGGACTCATCCCATTGCTTTCATAAGCAGTGCTGCACCTTCAGGAAAGGGCACTTGGCAAACGCCGATGTCCGATTCTGCTTTCGAAGAGCAGCGGTACGTACCATTCCATCGCGTATCTGCTGTAAGACGGGAAGATCTGGACCTCATCCTGCGAGCCATTGCCGAATCACATTAACATATCTTATTCTTCATGCATACACAGACTCTGAGAGCTTTGAATCTTAAATTCTCTTATTCCATCTCAACCGGGCTTCCAGAATTCATACCGTCCGATGCTCTTGCATGTCTTCCCGTGGCCGTGCTCTCGGTGGAACCATTCCTCCGTGGGCACCTTCCACCGTTTCAACCAACACGCGCGCGGGATCCAATCAAGCAAAGCTCGGATCGCAGTATTAGCGTCATCGAACCTCCTCCGCCCATGAGGTCACTCGGAATCCCATAGCTCCGGCGCAGAACACCTCGCGATTGTATTCACAGCCTCCACATCGTCGTGGATCTTGGAGCTGATATTTTTGCTATCGGCTCGTCTTCGTATTCCTGCCGCGCGGGTGCAAACACTACAAATAACAGCACGCTGCAGCTGTGTATAGCTCTTTCCACCCCACAGTAACGCAACGCGACTTCCTCCTAGCATCAACAGCACCGCGCAACATGGCCAAGGAAACGCAAGTCGCGGTAAAGCAGCCGCCGCCGCCGCCGCAGGCGCATGGCTATCATTTTGGTGGACCGTGAGTTATCTCAAGCAACCTTAATCCCATTCCGTCCACTGACTTTATTCATAGTATTGGAACCTTTGGCATCTCCATCATCCTTCCCGTTCTCGTCTACGTCTTTGCTTTCGCTTGCAACGATGTCTCCGGCTGCCCCGCGCCCTCCCTGCTCGACCCGAAGAACTTGACTCTTTCCCAGCTGAAGCGCGAGGTCGGATGGCCCGCTGAAGGAATCTGGGGTCTTGGAGACAACAAGGTCAACGCCGCCGTTCTGGGATACTACTTCTTCAATGCGCTCCTCTACCGCTTCCTGCCTGGCACTGAGGTCGAGGGTGTCCAGCTTGCCTCGGGCGGCAAGCTCAAGTACCGCTTCAACTGTACGCAGCCCGACCTATTCCCCTACTGCTCGTGTGACTGACAAACGCAGCCTTTTCCTCTGGAATGTTCATCTTGACTCTTTGCGCCGCTGGCACCATCGCTCAGGGCGCCGAGTTCCCTGTTTGGACCTTCATCACGGAGAACTACATCCAGGTCGTTACTGCCAACATGCTGGTCGCATTCGCTGCCGCTACATTCGTCTACGTCCGAAGCTTCAGCGTCAAGCCTGGCAACGTCGAGAGCCGCGAGCTGGCCGAGGGTGGACATTCTGGCAACCTGATTTACGACTGGTTCATCGGGCGAGAACTCAACCCTCGCGTCACGATCCCCATCATCGGAGAGATCGATATCAAGGAGTTCATGGAGGTCCGACCTGGCCTGCTCGGCTGGTCCCTGATCAACTTCGCCTGGATGGCCAAGCAGTACCGCACCTATGGTTTCGTCTCAAACAGCATCATCTTTGTTTCCGCTGTCCAGACCGTCTATGTCATCGACTGCTGGTACAACGAACCCGCGATTTTGACCACGATCGACATCATTACTGATGGCTTCGGCTTCATGCTTTCATTCGGCGACGTCGCATGGCTCCCGTTCATGTACTCCCTTCAAGCCAAGTACCTCGCTGCATATCCCGTTTCGGTCAGCCCGCTCGGTATGGCCGGAATCGCAAGCATTATCGGTGTCGCCTTTTTCATCTTCCGCGCCTCCAACAGCCAGAAGAACGCATTCCGCAACAACCCAGATGACCCGAGCGTTTCCCATCTCAAGTACATCGAGACCAAGGCAGGCACTCGCCTCCTTATTACCGGCTGGTGGGGTGTTGCCCGCCACATCAACTATCTCGGCGACTGGCTGCAGGCGTGGCCTTACGGCTTGCCCACCGGTATGGCAGGATACACGATCGTCTCGGCTGGCAGCGGCTTCGTGCAGTCTGGTGTCGAGGGGGCGTTCAAGATGGCCGATGGTCGCGAGGTCACCCAGGGTGCGGCGCGAGGATGGGGAATCCCTTTCACGTACTTTTACATCCTGTATTTTGCGATTCTCCTGATTCACCGGGACCGCCGCGACGACGAGAAGTGCGCGCGCAAGTACGGCGAGGACTGGAAGAAGTACAAGAAGATTGTCAGGTGGAGAATCTTGCCTGGCATTTACTAAGGGTCCATAGGATCTTTGGACATGCCATCGGAAAGCCGGGCCGGGCTATGGAGACGGATAGGAACCTCTTCGGGCCGTTTCTTTGAGTCGTGGAGCATTACGAAGGTTGGCGTCTAGCAAATTGGCGTTGGGCAACGGTTGCGCATGTGGCGTTCGTAGCTTCAGGCGGGGAAATGGACCTCGTCGTAGCAGATTCATGCTAGTTGAAGGCGCAATACAGCTTTAATGATCTGGTATAGTGCGGATGAACCAGAGATACTCCAGCTTAGACTACTAAGCTTCCTTTCCTGCGAGACTGCCTAATCTTCTGCGTCTGCGCGGCCGAATTGCCTGTGAACTTGTGAAACCTGAAAATAATCTTTCGATCAAGGACCATCGTAGGAGGAATAACGATGGAGGCAATCAGGACGACAGCGACAACAACGACAGTTGGGCAGAGTATGAGATCACAGAAAAGGTAGTCTCTCTAGCCAAGGTAGTCTACTGAGCTTCTTTTCCTGCGGCTTATTTCTCACCGAACCCAGCCACGCACGTCTTGGCCTGATTGGTGACGGGTTTGGGCGCTGGTGAGACAAATTGAACCAACCTTGTTTTCGGTTGCCGTCCGTCTTGGGACGGAACAGAGAGGGCACTCAAGACATCAATTGGAACGTTACCTGTTCTGCGCTCTGCCTACCGCAAGCATTGCATCAAACCAACCAGATTTTGCAGCGACACTACGCGACGCGAGTTGCTCCTCACGGCTGTGCCCCATTCTCGTCTTCGGGCTCCCCCTCTCGACGATGAAGCTACTCCAACAATTAGTAAACGGGCCGAAAGACTCGGGGGTCCCGCTCCTTGGCAACGGGCGTGATTCGCGAATGGGCGAGCGAAAGTGCGAATGTGGGTTGCCCGGAGCTCTTGTGGACGATGGGCCAATTTTTTGACGATGGAGCATGGAGAGGAGGCCGGGGGAGGGAGATGAGGGGTAAGACAGGGGTCTGTTGGGAGGGACCAGGGTAGAAATGCGGGGGAGATGGGGGAGAGGAGAAGAGACGATGGAGAAGGAAAGAAAGTGGTTGCGCGAAAGGTGCGGCCAAGAGGCGCAGGCGGGGGAGATGTGCTGGCGATGGAGTCGGCATGGCGTCATGTAAGAGTTAGCGTCTTTCGACCGTCTCGTGATCTCTGGCTGGGAGAAGAAGAAAAGCTGCAGCCATTATTCAGACAGATGCAGCAAGGTTTGTGTCAGTCGAAGCAAGAGTTGAGATGGAAGGAAAAAGGAGAGTTAAGCATGAGTTGGGTGCCGCCGGTAAGATGAGACGGATATTAAAAGGTTGACTCGATGAATGCTCGCATAGTATAAAATTCAGGGACGGGGGCCTTTTGAGTTTATATGAGGGTTTATGGCGTCTTTGGCGGACATGACACATCCCGGCGGAGGGTTGCATTATTCATATACGAAAACCAAAATGTTTACAAAACATTTCGAGGGGCTGGATACGAAGAAGAGTTTTTGCCAAGCGGAACAAGTGCCGACGGCGGTGGGGAGGGGCGAAGGCGTTTTATTCCGATCTGCAGACGGTCGGAATGTCGACACTGGCAGTGCCGGGCGTGATGTCTGCTCGGTTTCTTGTTTGCAGTGGGAAAAGAACCTTGAGGATGCGATCTATCAACAAGAATTGGCCCTAAGGTCAGTCGATGGTTCTCCGGGTTAACGACGGATGTAACGCTGCTGCAGGCGATGAAGTGGTGCTTGAGTGCGGTACGAATAAACACTGGGCAGAAGAGAAGCAGAGAGAACAAGAGCACTAACAAGACAGGCGCCTCTCGGAGCCAACGGCGGGACGGCGCAACGCCACTGTCGATAGAAGCGTGCCAGGGATGACGGTACTGCCGAGATACATGCAGCCACACCGAATTCTCCGCGTATAGCCATGTTGCCCCTCGGTAATCGCGACCGGAAGTTAGGTCCATCCAAGTGCGCGAGTGCTACTGCTGGGCTCTTGCCCAAAGTGCCAATTTCCCCGTCATTTCTTCTGGTGTTTCTTGCTTGGTGGCCCCACTTCCCCACCGGTTCCGATTTGGCGTTCCTGTGTCCGGCATCTAGGGGGAGGGAAGGCGCCGTGGGGAGGAGAGGGTACTTCCCCGTGGGCGTCCGTCCCTTCTCTTTCCATCGACCACCAACATGACCAGCTTGCCTGCCTGCCGCCCAGCCCGTCGTCGCCTCATCATCACCCACACACACACACCAAGGCCAAAAGCACTGGTTCCAACGGCCACCACGTCCAGCAGCAGCCGCAGCTCTGCACGGATACTGACCAAGAGGAGAGACATTGGCCCAATGGTTGATCTCTCGACCGCCCCAGCTCTGGGCCCGTCCAACTACACCACATACATCTTAGGCTCTCCCTGCCCGTCATCGCACTTTTGACTGATCGGCCCTTTTTTCGTCATGACATGCTACACGTCCATGTACCTCGCAGCCTGCTGGCCTGGCTGCCCTGTCACGCTTCGCCTCTCCTTATTCTCGGGACGGCCTCTACCCCGGACTTGGGCTTTTTGTCTTTGCTCCAAGCTCTCACTATCCTCACCAGAGAACAGCTTCAACCGCAATTGATCCAGTCTAGCTTGCAGATGGCCCTCCATCTCCAACTCATCTGACCCGTTGCCAGTCCATCTGGCTGCTCCCCCGCAGCTCGCCCCTCACTTACATCGACACCGCTTCCAAGACCGACGACATCCGCGAGTCGGTCTACCACCGCGCTGTCATTGTCCTCCCCGGAAGCGGTGGGATACTTTTGGCCCCAGAACCAGTCTCCCAACCTGCAAGGCAGTGGGGTAGCATCCGTCCAACGTGCTACTCTACTGCATATGCCGTCCACCTCCACATTCACAGCCCACAGAATTGGTCCCCATCCATGTTGACTGAACAAGGAAACCTTGTTGCATCATCAGACAGGGCCCAGATCAACAGAGCTTGCCAACCCAGATCCTGACCGACCCTAGCCAAGCTACCCTCACCACGTTGTGCTTGCTGGATAGGGACAAGACTGGCAGCGAACTTTCATCCGCAGCTACCCCGGACGCGAATCCCAGCTTGCTGTCAACCAACATTAAAGTAGCCGCACCCGCGCGCTCTCGCACTCATCCAATTTTCTGGTCAAGGCACCCTGCTCCCTTCCCACGACCGACCTACAGCTCGAGTCGACCCTTCCACAAGGTAGCAGACGTTCTTCAGCTGAAGCGGCAACCGACAGCTGCTGGAAACCACGATGAGAACACAAACTTTGGCTGTTGCCGTGTTGGCGGCAGCTGACCTCGTTGCTGCTGCCGTGGCACCTGAAGGAAAGTTGCACAAGGTAAGTTGCTGCCGCGTGAAAGCTGGATGTTCCATTCCTCTGTGATTTGGGAAACCATTGCGCAATGACAATGTCTATTCTGCTTCTTCACCCAAGACCTTGGCTGGCCAGCTTCGTCTGCGGTGTGTCCAACCAGCTGGTGTTGCGGTTCTCCCATTGCTTGATTTAGAGTTGCCCTGCGTCCGCCTCTTGCATTCTGTCTTGTATTGCGTTCATCCCCATTGTTAAAACTGCTTCTTGTGTGTTTATGGCAAGATGTTTCTTCACTATCTTCTTGCGTTGTCTGGACTCGATCTAACACAATGGAACAAGCGCGATCTCGCATACTCGCCGCCCGTCTATCCTTCACCATGGTCGGACCCCAACGCTGATGGCTGGGCTGATGCCTACGCCAAAGCCAAGGACTTCGTCTCCCAATTGACCCTTCTCGAGAAGGTCAACTTGACGACGGGAGTTGGGTAAGTTGCTCGTCACCTCGTACAAAGCACCCGACTTACACGGGAACAGATGGCAAGGAGACCTGTGCGTCGGAAACGTTGGCTCAGTACCTCGACTCGGCCTTCGCGGCCTTTGCATGCAGGACGGCCCTGTCGGCATCCGCTTCAGCGACTACAACTCCGTCTTCCCCTCTGGCCAAACCGTCGCCGCCACCTGGGACCGAAGCCTCGTCTACCGCAGAGCCGAGGCCATTGGTGCCGAACAGAGAGCAAAGGGTGTCGATGTTGTTCTCGCCCCCGTCGCTGGACCCATTGGCCGCGCCCCTACAGGAGGCCGTAACTGGGAAGGTTTCTCCGTCGACCCGTACTTGACTGGTGTCTTCATGGCCGAGAGTGTCAAGGGAATTCAGGATGCCGGTGCCATCGCCTGCGCCAAGCATTTCGTCGGCAACGAGCAAGAACACTTCAGACAGGCCCCCGAGGCTATTGGCTACGGATACAACATCACCGAGTCGCTTTCTTCCAACATTGACGACAAGACCATGCATGAGCTTTACATGTGGCCCTTCGCCGATGCCATCCGCGCTGGTGTTGGTTCCATCATGTGCTCTTACAACCAGGTCAACAACTCCTACGGCTGCCAGAACTCCAAGCTTCTCAACGGTCTTCTCAAGGGAGAGTTGGGCTTTTCTGGATTCATCATGTCGGATTGGCAAGGTATTTTGGAACCTCCTGGGGTAATGTCGTGAAGCAAAATTGCTGACTTTTGTATAGCGCAACATGCTGGTGCCGCTACGGCGGTTGCTGGTTTGGACATGAGCATGCCCGGCGACACCCTCTTCAACACCGGCCAAACCTTCTGGGGAACCAACCTGACCATCGCCGTACTCAACGGTACCGTCCCCGAGTACCGTCTCGACGACATGGCTCTCCGCATCATGGCCGCCTTCTTCAAGGTTGGCATGAGGGTCGATGAGGTGCCCGACATCAACTTCTCCTCCTGGACCCTCGATACTGTCGGTCCCCTGCAGTACTACGCCAAGGAGAACGTTCAGACAATCAACCAGCACATTGACGTACGCAAGGGCAAGGAGCACGCCAACTTGATTCGTGAGATCGGCGCCAAGGCCACGGTGTTGCTCAAGAATTCTGGATCTCTGCCCTTGAAGAAGCCCAAGTTCTTGGCTGTCATTGGAGAGGACGCCGGCCCGAACCCCAAGGGTCCCAACGGCTGCAGCGATCGCGGATGCAACGACGGTACCCTCGGTGCCTCCTGGGGATCTGGCAGTTCCAACTACCCGTACCTCATTACTCCGGACCAGGCCCTGCAGAGGCGCGCTCTCGATGACGGTACCCGCTACGAGAGCATTCTCAGCAACTACGAAACCGCTGCCACCACTGCCCTGATCACTCAACCCGGCGCCACTGCCATCGTCTTTGTCAACGCCAACTCTGGCGAGGGCTACATCAACGTTGGCGGCAACGAGGGTGATCGCCAGAACCTGACCCTGTGGAACTCTGGCGACGAGCTCATCAAGAACGTCTCGTCCATCAACAACAACACCATTGTTGTCATCCACTCCAGTGGTCCCGTCCTCGTCACCGACTGGTATGAGAACCCCAACATTACTGCCATTCTCTGGGCTGGACTTCCTGGACAGGAATCTGGCAACTCGATCACGGACGTCCTTTACGGCGATGTCAACCCCGCCGGCAAGTCTCCCTTCACCTGGGGCGCGACCCGCGAGAGCTACGGCGCCGACGTGCTGTACAAGCCCAACAACGGCGAGGGAGCTCCTCAGGATGATTTCACCGAGGGCGTCTTTATCGACTACCGCTTTTTCGACCGGGCTACTTCTGGCAGCAATGGAACTTATGGGAACTCTAGCAACTCTGCGCCAATCTACCCGTTCGGCTTCGGTTTGTCTTACACCAAGTTCGAATTTTCCAACCTGGCTGTGGCCAAGAAGGATGCGGGAGAGTACAGGCCTACGACTGGTGAGACGGCGGCTGCGCCTACTTTTGGTAACCACAGCACCGACCTGAACGACTATGTCTTCCCCAAGGACCAGGCTCGCTACATCTACAAGTTCATCTACCCGTGGCTGAACGTGTCAAACGCCCAAGAGGCCTCTCAGGACCCTCACTTTGGCAAGACGGCGGAGGAGTTCCTGCCGCCCAACGCCCTGGACAGCAACCCGCAGGCCAAGCACCCTGCCTCGGGCAGCCCCGGTGGTAACCCGCAGTTGTGGGATATCCTCTACACTGTCACTGCGACCGTGACCAACAAGGGCGACATTGCCGGTGACGAGGTTGCTCAGCTGTACGTGTCGCTTGGCGGCCCTGACGACCCGGTCAAGGTGCTGCGCGGTTTTGAGCGCATCCCCCTTGCCCCCGGCGCATCGGCCACGTTTTCAGCCGAGATTACAAGACGCGACCTGAGCAACTGGGACGTTGCCAGCCAGAACTGGGTCATCAGCCAGTACCCGAAGAAGGTGTGGGTGGGCAGCTCGTCGAGAGACCTGCCCCTGAGTGCGTCGCTTTAGATAATACAGCAATGCGCCTGGTTGTATAGCACGGCGCTCTAGTTAGTAGTATTAATCAAGAATTCTTAGTCTTCACCGCTGCGCCAGGCTCTGTCGTCGCCTATATCGTACGAGATGTTATCCTCGGTTGTCTGGACGTGTTTCCTCTGGACCGAGAGGTCGCAAATTCGTTTATCCGTGCTTTCAAGGCAGTATGATAAGAAAAATGTTTCGCGATCGCTGTCGGCAATCATTGATCTATCTTATTACATCGGGACGGGTAAGGAGACTAAGATCAGGGATGCAATGCGACTGACTCGAGCAACATGACGCAACAGGGCCACAGTTCGGCCCAATTCCGCATTTCCAAAAGATTTGTTTCCTGCACACGATGAGATGACGTTGATGACTCCTTTATCGAAATGGTCCTCTATTTTCTGCGTTTTTTTTGTCGGTCTCGGCCGAATGCTCAGCTGGAGCTGGAGGAAAGCTGAATTGAGACATTTTGACGAGGCATTCCGAGAACCAACTGGCCCACCAGGAAAGTGCTTACCTTAGCTCACACCGGGAGACCGAGATCCCACCGGCCGTGGTGATGGGCGCGCTGGGCTGAGACGTGGCTCATGTCAGTGGATGTGAAGGTGTTGCCGGCCCCACTCTGACGCCACTTGCCCGTAAGAGCTGGTCAGTGCTTCCTGTCGAGTCCAATCAGAGTCTGTCGCTTGTGTGTACGTAAGCAAGCCACACCGAGGGTGGCAGAGACAATTGGACAGAAAACAGAGACGGGCAGGGAGAAAAAAACAGTCTGGAAGCCCACCCAACATCGGTCAAAAGTGGGGTAACAGCTGCGGGTCCAGGCTGACCTTGCCTGATTTGGTGCCAGCGCGGTGATCCGAGGCCGCTCTGGTCTTTTAGTGATCTTTGCCACGCTTCTGTTGTGTTTGGACTGGCAGGATGACTGGCCAGTCGGTGCCCAGAAGTCTTGATGAGTAAGGCCCTTGGAGTGGTTTTCTGTCTGCTCATGGACAGGAAAAGAAAAGAAAAATCAAGGGTCCCGGGCTGCCGAAGAACAATTGGCAGCAGCGAACAAGCCACACACCCAAAAGTACGAATAGATGAGACCGAACGCCCCCGCATCTCCCATGTCTCCAACTCCTTCCTTGCCTTCCTTACCTAACCTGCGTCTTCAATCCTCAGGTCTCGTCTCTCCTTCATTCCACCATTGCTCCATTACCATAGCCGGCGCCTGGCCCGAAGCCTCCAGCCTCTTCTTCCTCCTCTAAATCTCTTCAATTCTTGGTCGTTTTGCCTCTGCAGCGCCTCCTCGCCATCTGGCTGTCGACTTCGCCATCCCCTCGGACATTCGGCATTCGCAGCTCCAACCAACAGCACAGCCAACCACCAACCTTACCCGTGGCCGTGGTCCAGTTATCCGTACCCCCTCTCGAAAGGAGCCGCATGCGCCGCTGAGGGGGCCGCAACAAGCTTCCGCATAACCAGAGTCTCACTCCTCACAACGGCCTTCACCACACCAGAGCTTTAACCCTCCGCCGCGTCGTTACTCAAAGCCCGACCGCGACCAACCGGTCATATCGGGATCCCGAACAACCACCAGACCACGCCGCCAGCGCCGAACCTCGTCCGCATCCAGACCCCGTAAAACCCACCACCGCCCGGTCCTCGCGAGCAACCCAGCCAGTCGCGCCCCCCGTCCGTCTCATTGGCAACCCGCCTGCCACCACCCCCCGAACCCGTGAAGCTGTGGACGGGAAGGGGGTTCCACCTTTCGAGCAGCCTGCAGCCTCGCGGGCCCTGGTCCCAATCTGATTGATGAGCGATTGCCACTACCGGGTGCCACTGTCACTTCTACAACACCGTCGCCGTCCGTCCGTCCGTCTTCGCCGCCGCTGCCAGTCCAAATCCCGAGACCCGCGATCCCCGGATCTGATGCAAGTTCGCCCGACTTACAGACTTCATCATGCCTGAGTCGAACACGACCCCGGACCAGGTCTCCATTGACGACCTGACCCCCGAGGAGGCCAACCGTATCATCCACTCTCATCGCAAGGTCCGCTATGGTGAGTGAGAACCATCATGAGTGACTTCGTTACTCGCTGCCGCTCATCCCGTGCTTCACAATTACTCATACCCACTCACTTCACATTCATCGCAGCCCTCATAGATCAGACACTGACCCCATCACAGGCACAGCATGTTGGCCTTGCCGCCAGCGCAAGGTGAAATGCGACAACAAGCAACCATGCGAGAACTGCGTCAAGCGCGAGCATCCACAACTGTGCTCCTACAAACCTAACCGTACCGCCTCTCACGGAACCAAACCCGCTGCCTCCGTCACCACCGAGACGGGCAGCAACGCGGGCGGAAACACCACTACCACCGTAGCCAACAATCGCAAAAGGCCTCACTCGCCCGAGGGCTCCGCTGCCGACGTCGCCGCCGGCGCTCCTCCAGCCAAGGTGGAGGCCGGAGCCGCGACCTGGCCTCGTACGGCCATTGGTAAGTCCTCTGCCTCAGCCTCAGCCTCAGCACCGTCTGCATTAAACCCTGGTGGCTTGGGACCTGCGCCGTCGTTCTCCTTCTTGGGCAGCGGTTCGTATACTAATCCAGCGCCCCGTGCGGGCGGAGCAGTCGCGGCAAGCGTGGACGAGACCGAAGCCCCCGAGGCCGTCACGCGCTACCTTGGCCAGAACAGCATCCCGTCTCTCCTGCGAGAGCAGTCGGCCGCCAACGAGCTGCAGGAGGGCGTCGACATCCGTCAGGACATGAGATCCATCCTGGGCCTCGACACGTCGGCGCCCTTCCCGCTCATGTCTTCAAAACACCTCGACAGCCTAACGCGAGAGATCTCGGCCGAGCTGCCATCGGATCGAGAGGTGATGAAGTATGCATGAAATTCTTTGATCGGGGACGCATGCTGACGTTTCACAGGTTATTCCGCACATACAAGGAAACACCACAACAGTTTTGGGGCTTCGTTGTCGACATTGACGACCTCGAGTCCAAGCTCATGGTCTACCTCGAAGACAGGGCGCGCAACGCGAGCAACGCAACGAGAACGCCCAAGCCGGTATCGGCATCATGGCTGGCCATACTCTTTGCGCTCCTCGCCGTGGGTTCGCAGTACCACGACTCCCCTTATCACATCCGCACACGAGACTCGCAAAAATACATACAAATTTCGTTCCACTTCCTGAGGCTAGGGAATTTCCTGCTACGGTTAGTCACACTCTCGGCTGATCAGCCCCCGTCGGAAAGATAGGGCCCTCCACTGACACGACCCAAAATTTCATAGACCCACATTCGACTCCATTCAAGCTCTGCTACTAACCAGTTTTGTTCTGCTCAATGACATGAAGGCAGAGGCGTCGTGGGCTTTGCTGGGTCTGACATGTCGTCTTGCACAATCCCTTGGTCTTCACCGGCCAAATCCCTCGGATGGAAGAGATAGCGCTCGTAATGATGGACAGTCGAAGGAGATGATTCGCCGCAAGCTGTGGTGGACATGCGTATGGCACGATACCCTCACATCATTGTCCTTTGACCGCCCGCCAATGACAAACATCCCCTGCTGCCCTATCCCGACGGTCCAACATACGATGGCCGGCGAATACGGATACCTCGATACGATGTACCACCTCTGCGAGATCATCTCTCGACGCCTGAACCCTGACGTCGCCACCGCCGTATCCTACGAGCAAATGGTTGAAAACTGCGAAGCCGTCGAGAACCTCCGCAACATGGTCGCCCCGAACATCCGCATCAAGGAGCAGTGCAAGACGGCCATCGACCGCCTGCAGCACTACGCCGTCCGCCTGCATACCTCCTTCGTCATCTCCGTCTGCTGCAGACCAGCGTTGCGGAGGGACTGCACCAAGCTCACGTCCGAGCAGAAGCGCCACCTGTCCGACAAGTGCCAACATAACCTCGCCGAGACGGTGCGCATGTTCCTCGCCATGCACCAGCTCTCCGTCATCCCCACCCGCAGCTGGGCCTTCACCTACCACGGCCTCTCGTCGGCGCTCCTCCTCGGCATCCTCGGCGAGACCAAGAACAGCCCCGAGGTGCGACAGTTGCAGGGCGACCTCATCGCGGCGCTGTCTGCGACGGCCGCGAAGGAGGCCACCTCACCGGCGGAGCACATCCCTAAGACGGACAAGGACATTGAGCTGTCTGGCCCGTTGTGGAGGGCCCTGACTGCGCTGCGGAACATCTACGAGCACGGCACAATCATGGGCACGTCGCAGAAGAAGGACTCGGACTCGAGCGGGACGGGGAGCGGAGCCAGGACGCCGCTACCGCCGATGCTGATGGGCCCGATGGGGGCCAACGGAAATGGGAACGGCGGTGTCAACAAGGCTTTCGGCATGGATCCCCACCAAGACGCCGCGCTGGCCATGGCGGAGATGCAGAATGGCACTACCATGGCGGAGTACAACCCCAAGTATGTTGCCCCTTTTTGTCGCAGTAAGATTATTGCTAACCGGCTTAGTAGCATGACTTATCCTCCCGTAATGGAGGGCCTTCCCAATATGGACCCATCGACGTACATGTCGCCGATGGACTTGTACGAATCGATTTGGTGGGGTATGTCATCCCTCCTTTATCCTCGACGACGTTTTCGTGAGCTGACAGCTGAGGCAGAATCACCCGACCCTTGGAACTCAGGCGTCGACACCATGAACTTTGACTTTGTAGCCCAACCACCGCCGGGTCAACCTCAACAACAATTCTACTTCTAAAGAGAAAGAAACAAGCACCTTTTCACCTAAATGATAGCCCATCAAAGGCAACAAGGAAAGCCGAGGCAACTTCGGCACATCTGGCCTAATACTGAGTTGGAGACGGTCTGAAATCTAGGGGCGGGGGCGCTTTTTACGGTTGGATTGTACTAGGAGGATGGTGCAAAAGGTGGGATTCTGGCGCTGCCGCTTCTGTTTCTCATCATTGGAACTCAAATTCTTGAGGGAGCGGTCGGGGCTGTTGTTGAAATTAAACCATCCGAAGGTGTATTTTAATCGAGTGACGTGTCACGATTTGATGGAGGCGATTTTGACTTGATCGTGGGAGGGCATAGTGTTTTTTGATGCCATGTTGTTGTACCGTGTAAGGTCCATAGTTGTCAATGTATTGGAACATTGGATCTTTACCGATTTTGGTTGATGATTTTCGTGATTGGACTGTTGATCATCATGTGCTTTCGAAGAATGGTTGAGCAACGGACGTAGTCGAAGGGGCGATTTCGGTATGAGAGAGTCGCAACTGACTGAAACGCTATGAGGGAAACGACGTGGTTAGCAATGAATCCAGTTTATATATAGGAGTACGTGAGTAAGCCTTCACAAAGAGATAATCTATTTTCTTGCGCTAGAGCAATTACTTTTCCTGTGGGTATGCAACTTGCCCTGCGTTACCGTCATCCTCCTCCTCCTCCTCCTCCTTATCGTCTTCATGGTCGTGTGTGTGTGTGTGTGTGTGTGTAAGTTTACTATTTTACGCCGGTGCGTCTCTGTTGCTAAGGGCAGAGGGCGTCCACCGGTAGGCGTGTCGAACAAGAATAAATGTAAGAGTGTATGAGAAACCATGAAGCCAGATGACAGGTGAATATGTATGTAGACCAGCGGAACAGTTCACACATCGCTAGGAAGGGGCAGATATCATTAATTCATCTTTTAACCTCTAACTGGAGCTGCGCTCTGTGAGCCTTTACCCTGTGTCACCGCTCCTATTGACAATTTCAGCCACGACGTAATGGTTGTCTCAACCAATGCGTCCCTCGCTAACGTCAGGATGCAACCCAATCTTATCGTCGCCATTGAAGACGGCATCTACACCGACACCGACGCAATCAATTTCAAGCCCGCCAAGCACTGGGCCACATGGCCTTTGCGTAACTATCTGACTCTTGTTTTCTTTTCAAGGCTTCGTGTTTCTGGACAGCTGCTTGTAATTCTGGGAGTTCGTTGTAAACCCAACTAGACTTGATGTATTCCGCCGATCTGCTGTTATAGTAGTGACGGAACACACTATCCATGTCCGTTTTCGCCAGTGCCTGAGCCATTCTCAGAATGCTGTCCCGTCTTTGAGCGAGGTACTGGCTATATGTCGTTATTTCTTCGTCGCCAGACATGTCGTGTACTGTACTGTCTGGTAGGGTGAGGCATCCGCCCTCATTAGGGTCTAATTTGATCATGCACACGAATACCATGACATGGCACCCCATAAGATTCTCATAAGGTTGCTCTGAGGCGCCAAGTGCCACCAATGTCTCCATGATCCTGGCCGTGCGGTGTAAAGTCCCTTCCCACGTGCCTTTCGTGAGAATCTGACTGAGAAGCTTCCCAAGATTCAAGGTTATACGCAGTGCCGAATTTCCATCTATCAGCTGGCTTTCAAGGAGCTCAAGAAAATCAGGATAGGCGATGCTGTGCGGGTAGTTTGCGTCTCCGAACGGGATATGAAGAGCAAGGGAGCGATCGAAGCGGAGAAGGACGGTCATCTTCTGATGCTGCACGGACTCACTACCATAAATGAATCTTTCGTACGTGAAGCTTTCATGGAGAGCCAAGCGCTCTTCAATAGATCTCACCAGACCGTTGTTCAGAAGCCATTCGAGATTGTACGCACTCACTCCATCATCGCCCCATACATCTTCTAAAAGATCATCTAAAAGGTCGCCGTAATCAATAGCATTATTACCTTTCAGTGGTAAGATCGACGCAGCCGAGTTTAACTCTTCCAGCATACGCTGGATGCTACATGACCAAGATGATGTGGGATCCCTTTGCAAAGCTGCGTATATGTATTCCAGTGGGCGGTCGTGCCTTGTCAGTGAAGGTACCGCTTTGAAAAGCTTCTCGATGAGACTCAGTCGACCTCGTCCAGCAGCGTCGCATACAGCCCTAGGAAGGCATCGATCTTCATGATGAAGGCAATTCTCGACGGCGAAGATGATGGTGTCGTCGGCTGCTTCCTCGTACAGCAATACTTTCAAAAAGTCGCGACCATGGACTTTGTTGTCCGCATTATCGAAGATTGCATGTCGACGAGCCTCGTCCTCCAACACAAAACGCAACATTGTTACATGACGCGCATAGTACAATGGGTTTCGAGCCGAGCCTGGCAAGGGGCAAGGGGGGAGGTAGTGACAGGGCCAAGAAGGCAAGTCGTCAAGCGTGGCTCCTCTTGAAATCAGCAATCGTACGGCGTCGAGCTGGCCAGAAAGCATGCTCAGTCCAATTATAGGAAGGTGTTTTCGCTGATGTCGCGATCTCCTCCTACTATAGTAGATTCCGTGGTCTGGATCTCGCTGACTTTTACACGCTCGCTCACTCGTATACGCACGCAGACTGGGCTTCATTCCAAGATCCATGCACCTTCTCATGATGTCGAGACGTCCGGTTTCGCAGGCCCAGCCAAAGGCAACACTATCCCCTCGTGCAACGGCGTTGGCTACGAGGCGGTCACCAAGGACCGAGTTAAATCGATGCGAAGCCAACATCCAATTGAGATGATCTTTTGGAGCCAGGAAGGAAGAGGTAATGTGCAGAAGCTCGTTGGGAAGGTCTGCGAGCGCCGGACCACGCATGGTGATAATCTTGACTGCGTCCATACCGTGGAGCACCAGGTTTTTGGGTGTTCGGATCGACCTGGTGGTGATTTGAAAGTGGGAGAAGACGTTCCCGGAGAGGTCTTGTGAATTGTATCGAAAGTAGGAGAAAAGGTGCAGTGTGTTGTAATGAAATTGGAGCTGGATCTTTCTTCCCTTCTAATGGATTTGTGCATGTAAAATAAGTAGAGGAGGCCGACAGCTTAAGTTTCGAAGCGTCAAAAATATGGATGCCGCAAGGGAAAAAAAAAAGAAAAGAAAAAAGGTCTAGAATCTGCACCCTTTTAAAGATCAAAATCGTACATCAAGGTTCACAGAACATTCTTTTGATTACGCAAGACCGTCTCTTAGGGCTCAACAAGGTATGGATCTCACAAGGTGACCAACACGTGGAAAGCGAACTAGTTGGAAACTCTGTAAGATAGTATTGATAATGAATGCAGCCTTTTGATTTTGCCCATATTGGAAAACGAGACTAATGTAAATTCATTCATAAAGACTACGAGGATGACTACGCGGTCACGAAGACAAAGCGAAAGGCGACAGACAGTATTAGCAGCAGAAACGTTTAAACTAACAATAAGGGGCGCTCAGTATAATAGTGATAGTGGAAAGAAATTATTAAGACAGCGCAGATCGATAATAGGGGCTCACTGCTAAGCTATCAGAAATTCAACTGCAACGTTTGACGCGGCTTCAGGTTCTTATAGTTGCCCATATGTGTCAAGTATCAGCGGCAATTAGGAGTCGGCATTCTCCTCCAGTCATGCTGAGCTTCTAAAAAGCAGCAAAAATGATACCTCTCCCGCCCGGAATCGAACCAGGGGCGCGTGCGCGACAAGCACGCATGTTACCACTACAGCACGAGAGATGATTGTCTCGTTGATTGTTGACAATGATGGGATGGGAGAGGTGTATGAATCTTCGGTGTGGTGACTCATTGTTCTGAGGGTGGTGTGCCAGGCAGGTTGTCAGCTCTCAAGGTTGCCTGATATTTCGTGATGTCGCTTATTTGAGGGTGCCCTTGCTACCCCTAAACGCCAAAGCAGGTCTGAGAAGGTTTTGGAATAGTTATATGTTTACCAGAAGAGACTTGTCTCAAAACCCCCTTCATCGGGCATGATTGCTCGGAGACAACCAATAACAAGAAGCTCTGGTCTCTAAAAACGGTTGCCAGTATGCTTATAGTCTCTGCTTTAACATACCAAGTACGAGCTATAAACACCAGAAATCAATAAAACATTGATATTTTCACTTTGAACCGTCATGTAGATGCAATACGTACGAAATTGTATCAATATGAGATTCTATATCCTCGCTACCTTCATATCCATAATCCCTCTGCGGCCTGTCCGCTGTCCAAAGCGCTATGCCCAAAGCACTCACGACAACAGTCTCAGAGGTGAGTTATCCTTACGCAGCCTTTTAATACATCGATCCAAGGACGAAACCAGAGTTGATAAAGGACAGCGATTGCCGCGTTTGCCCAATGTTAGAGTGGAACGGCCGACTGCTCCAGCTACTTGGTAGTCACCGTCTTCGAACCCGCGTAAACCTCTCCCACCAGCATGTCCAAGCTCTGAAGAACTTGACTGAAAATGATTCTGTGACCAAGGACTGCAACCGAAGTGGCAACACTTCCAACCACCTTGCTCGTCACCTCAACCCTCACCGTGCAGCGCGGCGCACTTCCGTTCACCGCGGCCGTGATGCCGGACTATGTCCCAAAGCCCGTGAAAAGACAAGCGTCGGCGCCGCAGAGCATCCAAGTTTACGCGTCTGCATGCAGAGGATTGTGCCCACCTTGGATTGGGAATTAGAGCTTCTATATTGGTGAGCAGAAAGACTGGGGATTCAAATCGGCCTGTTTGGTGAAGCAAGCGTTTAGTATCACTATGGCTGACGGGCAACGCTTTCGTCTCGCGTCTTATCATGCAGAGCAACACCCAACCTCCTCACCCATGCTTCTGGAGCCTGGCATAGACCCTAAATGAAGACACTTTTCACCTCCACTGCATCTTTACACTGCACGCTACTCTCAAGGCGACTACTCAAGAGTCAATGATTGATCATGTTCCAAGGACTTTCGCAACAGTGAGGAAATTTGGCCATACCTGGTTATTCAACCACGGT